ATTGTATTGTTATTAGACTCAACTACAAATTTATATATTTCTTATTGAGCAAATCTCAGTTTTAACAAACATGGGAACCTACAATTCATTTCCTTATATTTAATTATATAACATCATTACATCATATTATCTTACATGTTATACTATTCCTTTTCATGACATAGTTTACTTCTGTATTTTCTTGTCCAACCATTGATAAAATAAATCCCAAATTTTATAATATTCTTTATCTTCTTGCTCTCTAATTGCTAATGTCAATTTACTCATTTCTGCACATTCCATCATTTTTTTAATCACCTCTTCCTCATTCATAAAATAAATTTCCTTTCCCCTTCTAGAATCCCCCAAATTTCTGCAGTGGTTTCTGGACAAGAAGTATTTGATTTGGAATATTTGAGGGGAGCCAAATCCACCTCAAAGAGCCAACGAATCTTTCAGAAGATAATTGGATTCACTTAGGAATGAGGATTCCTCTGCCTCAAATGGTCGGTATTTTCCCATCTCCAAAGTTCTTGTCCAAACTTTGTGGCCAGCAGAAAGGGGATCTATGTGGAAAAGTTAAGAGGCAGCAGCCAAAATGTCAGCAGATACACCCTGTGGAGTTGAATGTACGAGCTGAAATGAACATTACCTGATCTAATGCCTTGAGAGGCTCCTTCTTACTAAACTGAAGCAGGTTCCCAATCAGGGGCAGCCTCCACGGTGCAGGGGGGAAACCTTTGGGACGTTGGCTCTTCCAGAAACAGAGGAATAAGAGAGAAAGAACAATCAGCCAGCCGAAAACATTCATGTTGGTAGCAGGAACGTCTCATTCTGCGTTTCTCTCCTACCAATATCCATGCCAAACCGCCCAAAGATTAAATATTTAAAATCAAGAGGGCACGTGGTGTTCAGAAGCCAGCTTTCACAAGTTTTGGCAGGCTGAAAGTTAACATTAGGAACATTATTAAAAGAAAAAAAAAACAAAGGGAAAAGGATCTTGATCACATCCCCAGTGGGGCTGCAAAAATATGCCTTATGCTCCTTTCTCTACACTCCCCCACAAGACCTCATGAGATGGAGAACTTGCACACACAAAGTTTGTAAGCAAATTTTGCAAGCTTTTCTCTTGGTGTGCATTATACTCATGGGAGATTTCAGAGTAATTGAATCGCAGAGTTAGAAAGGAGCTTGGGGGACTTCTAGTCCAACACCATGCACAAAGCAGGAGACCTTGTACCATTGTAAACAAATGGCAGTCCGGTATCTTCTCAAAAGCCTGTGATGTTGGAGCATCCACAACTTCTTCTTTTTTAAAACAAACTTTATTGATTATACAAATAAGATGTCAAACAAACACATACACAACACACAGAAAAAAAAAAGGAAAAAGGAAAAAAAATGATTAAAAACTAGCAATTCTATTATCGACAGTCTGTGGTTCCTTGTTTGTTATCAATATTGGTGACACATTTACAAATACATCTTATTGCGAATATATAAATACTACCTCTTTTACATTTTACGTTGTTTACTAATATATTTTCTATTTTTGTTCTATCCAGTCATACCAGCGTTCCCAGCTTCTATAATATTCTGATGTTTCTTTTTCCTTGAGTGCTAAGGTTAACTTATCCATCTCTGCACAGGCTGTTATCTTCTGAATGACCATTTCCTCTGTTGAAATATCTGCTTATTTCCAACACTGTGCAAAGGTTGTTCTGGCTGCAGTAAGAATGTGCAATATTATATATTTGACTTTTTTAGAAATTTATCTATTAAATATCCCCAATAGGAAGAATTGTGGTTTTAATTCAATTTGCTCCGCCATTATTTCCTCTAACCATTTTTTAATTCTGTGCCAATATCTTTGGGCTTCAGTGCAGGACCACCACATGTGAAAGAATGTTCCGTATTTTTTTTTACGTTTCCAGCAATTCGGATTCATGTTAGGAGACATTTTCGCCATTCTCAAGGGCGAGAGATGCCATCTATAAAACATTTTATAGGCATTTTCTTTATATGTTGCTGATTTTGTAATTTTATTATTCCTTGCCCAGACCTTTTCCCATTCTAATAATGTAATGCTGCGTCCTATGTTTCTACTCCAAGCTATCGTGTTGCCTTTGACTACTTCCTCTTCTAATTCCATCTCTAATAAATAATTATAAAATTTAGTTATATTTTTTTTATCTGGACCTAATAGGATTTTATTTAATTGTTGTGCCTTAGCATAAATTCCAAAAATTTTCTTGTCCTGGCTATATCTATTTTGAATTTGCAAGTAAGCCCTCCGGTCTACTTGTAGCCCCTATTCTTGGAGATCTTGCCATGATTTTAAAGTTCCTTGCGCATCAAGAAGGTCTTTGTATTTTATCATTTTATTAAGATCTAGATTATTTGGAGCATCCACAACTTCTGAAGGCAAGTTGTTCCATTGA